CCCCGCCATCCCCCCACCCACCCTGCCTCCGTCGCACCCTCCCCGCCTCCTTTTACACGCCTTTCTGTTGGAGGGAGGGAGGGAGGGAGGGAGGGAGGGAGGGAGCGAGAGGAAAAGAGAGAGATGGGAACAATTAAAATACTGTAGGGCAATCAAACTTTGAACACACTTTGAACACCATGGGCGATCAGACCTCATGTGTCCAACGTACCTGTGCTCCAAACCAACGTTGCCCAGGCACGAAGCTCTGCAAGACCTCCTCGTCCGTGCCAAGGCATCCATCTTTTCGCTTCAGCTCAGCCCGGCGGCTCTCGAACGCCTGCGAAAAAGCTGGCTCCTTCCCAACACGAACATCCTGGAGGTTAAAACGCTCATTTCAGGCTCTTCTCCTTGGATCCATGGCAAACCTCCGAAAGACCCCTCGCAAGATGGCCAGGGCGCATTTCCAGCACCCAAGGTCTCCTTCAAGATCCTTCCGGCGTCCGGGGACCACGGAGGGGACCACAGGTCTGATTCGATCTGGGCGTCTCTGGTTGTTCCAAGAAGCACTTGTTGGAGGGTCTAGGGTTGATGGACTCATTGCTTTTAAGAAGCTAGGATCAAGTCTTTCTTCCATCCCTAAGAAGTTGTTTCTGGTTCTGGCCTCAAAACCTTCAAACCTTCGAAATGAAAGTTTCCTAAGACTGGCGCAACAACAGTTGGCTGAAAGCCTCCAAACCTGTCTGAAAAAAAGAATCTAGAGAGCCCCCAACTACCCCATGCCCTAAGCATAGATCCATCCACCACACCTTGCGGAAGACCTCTGCACCAAAAAACACCTACCCACTCGGGCAGCATCCATCCACTCGCACCACATCCCTACCCCGAAAAAACCGGTCCATTTCAGGTGCTCCGTCGGCGCGTTGGTCTCCAGAATCTCCTCCGAGAGCACGTCTCTGGGGCGCTTCGTCGGGAGCCTCGGCACCGCCCGGGCGGCGCGGTGGATTCGCTTCGGTGGCGTTGGTGGCTGCGGAGGTCCGGTGAGCGGGTGAGAGCAATGGGTGTAAAGCTCAAGACTGCTAGGGAGACCGACACCCAGCGTAAGAAAAATAGACCAGTCTACCCATTTGGCTACGGATCTCCCTTATTAAAATACACACCCATGTGTTATAAGTGTTTACCATTGTTGTATAGCATAGGCACTGGCAGTTCTTGGGCATCCGGCGCCCAAGGATGGCATGGACTTCTGGGGCCCAAGGAACACGGTGATACGCACCAACACGGTCTGGTCGAACAGTCATGGTACTGGAAGCCAAGTCTGCAAGGCCTGCAACGGAAGTGATAAGTGTAACCCTTGATTCATCCTGCTTACGTTGTGAATGATGAATGAACTATATTGACATAGTGACATCCTGTGTTGAGTTTATGACTATATATGTGTTTTTTGCTGTCCCCCGCGGATGTATGCTTCCTTCAACCATGTCTCCCCCTTTCTTTCTCCTGATTCACCCTGACTCGGCCCCCGGAGAACCCTCAAATAGCCGGACGCCATCTGAGACCATGAGGTGGTCTAAGCCAAGCGTTCGCAAGTTCGGAACTGATCTGAGATGATCTGAGCGGCCAGTAGACACCTGGGTGCTCCTTGAGAGGCCAATTCTCAATGAAAGCCTCTGAGAGCTCGAAGGGGAGCCGAAGCTTGTTCACATCTCCTTAGGATCGAACTTTCGGCCCAGTTCGGAGCAAGACTTACGAGTTCACCAGCCAAGCATCCCACGCACACATGCATCTTGCTTGTCAGCTGGGTAATCACACCCTCAAACTAGAACCTACAAACTCTAGTACAGTCACTGGTACTGTGTGCTTGAAGAAAGCCTCAACTACACTCAAGGTGATAAAAGCACCGGAAAGCCCCCAAAACTCCTCCAAGCGGAGCACCACAAGAACTCCGCCCGACTGAACTGCCCGCCCGCGAAAAGCGCTCAGCGGCGGTTGCCGACGATGAACTGCACCCGCTCGCCGTAGCGGCGCTTCAGGTCCAGCAGGTCATCCAAGATCTGCAAGTCGCCCGGATAGTGATCCACCGCCTGCAGAAAAAGAAGACCGCGCGTCTTAAGTCCCGCTCGGTGAATCAGTGAAGGAGTTTTTTCTCTGCTCAGGTGAGTCGGGTGCTTGGGACGGGTCCGGTCGTCTGGCTCCGGGCCGAAGATGTGCGATCTTTGGAGATGGAAGAGTCCCAGTCCCTACCAATCCCTGCACAGGTCATCCGGCTTTGGGCGGGGTCCCGGCAACCACGGCATGTTCTGCTGGTGCGCCGAAGCACGTCGCCACCGAAGACAAAGTGGGCGTTCTCCTGCAGGATGATGGAGCCATCAGGTGCCCGGTGCAGGACCTGGGATAACCTAAGCATGGGCGAGGAGAAGAACACTGCAATCCGAAACTGGATACAATCAAAGGCCTCTCGTTTGAGCACAAGTTGGTTAAAAGCAGAACGAAAGTTGTACAGTAGCATTGCAGCCTGAAGTGGCCGTTGAAAGGCTACGTAGATCCTACGGGCCGGAAGAGTGCTTGGGACATGTGGACACCCACATGAACCGCTGACCAGTGGCAAAGACATGAACCGCTGACCTGTGGCAAAGACACAATCACCAAAGCAAATCTAGCTCTTTTCCGGTGCCTCTCAGTCTGAGTGTCCTGTTGCAAGTCCCCAAAACCCATGATGAACAGACCACCACACAGGATACGATCTTCTGCCATCGGGGGTCAACACTCGGGGGCCCAAACTTAGATTCCCAAAACCACGTTGTTTATTTGGGCGGGTAGTCACCGCAGGTCAACGACCCACCACGCTTTCATGACCTCGGCATAGTTATCCGTTGCCATCTATAGTGTCCGACTGGATTATAGAATGCCGCTTTTTTCTCAAGTTTCATCGCAATGTATAGTGGGGATCCAGCAAGCTATCATTCAGTCCATCGGAAGTTTTGGAGGTAATTTAAGAAAAAGGGAAATAGTGTGCATCCCAGACCGTTGAATGCAGCAAACCCTTTTTCCGATTGCGCAATTGTTGTCCTGAGTGATCCTGTGTCATTGTTTGGTCAGGCAGGCCAGCCCCATATCTAAGGTGTTCAGATTGTATACCAAATCTGTGCAAGTATGCAAGAAAGAGATCTTGTCAGATCCGTCCCAAAGAGATCTTGTCAAGATCCGCGCCTTCAAACGCCTGCAACTCCCAAATTCAGGTCATTTTCCCTGACCAATTAGCTGGGCAGTGAATTGGGGTGTCCATTGCCATTGTCCAGCATTACTTCGAAAAAACAGCTACACAACATGAAAAATTACAATAAGAATGCTACAGAAAATGAGGATTGTCTCCAAAAGTGTCCAAAAAGTGAAGAAAAGTCTCCAGCTAAACCCCTACCAGCTTTAGCAATAGGAAAAAGACATGTATATATGTATATGTAAATATATAAATGTTGCTCCTTGAAGCCCTCAACACCAGAGAGAACACAGTCCCCGCTATTAGTTTTGTTCACCTTATGGCCCCACTGCTGCTCTCAATAGACCAAGGGGGACCACAAGTTCCTCTGTCCCACTTGATTGCTGAGGACGTCCAAAAAATGGGAACTCCTGAGACTCCAAAAGATTCTGGCTGTTCCTCCCCTCTCCTTGCTACCACCTCGTACGACCACCTTCAACCAGCTCGATGGGGCTGTACGGGAGCCCTTTCCCCCGGACTGGCCCAGGAGCTCGATGAAGCGTTCCCAGTGTTCCAAGTTCCCCTCCAAGTCCGTGACGTAGCTGATGGGTCCATCGCACATCGCCCCAGACCAGTCCGTTTGGGCGGACGTAACGACGTAACGACCGGTCCGCCCGGAGTCGTGGTACGACAGCTAGGGAGTTCTTTCACCCATGTCATGATACAAATGATACAAGAAAAGATCAAAAGGTATCCCACTTGCTGGCTGAAAAGCTGGTAGTTTCCACTCTCAAGTTTTCCAGGATTCACAACAAAGAACGACCAAGTTTGCAGCCAATCTCACATCACCTGTAGACTGTAGCCAGAAACTAGGCCCAAAAAAATAGGCACGACAGTTCTGCTCATGTTTTGTTTTTCTCCTGGCCCGAAAAGGGTTGCTTGGAGAGACAGATTGCTAATTTCTTTTGGCATACCGGCCAGCTACCAACCAGAGATTCCACCAAATGGACCGGCACAAGTGCTTCTGTGGGTGTGATTCTATCTTTTGCCAAGGTAGAGCTGCAAAACAGCAAGCACCAAGTGTCAGAGCCAAGCAAGGATTGCGGAGAACGTGTACACCAGACTTGGGAATTAAGAAAATCAGAAACACTTGCAAGAGGTGTCAACTCATCCTGCACAAATGTTGGTCTCTGTATGATCTCTTACAAGTCAAATTGCCTTCAGTTCCAAAGCCAAACTCGCATCGGCTGTCACTTCTCTTTCCGCGGAAGCGGTATGATGTTCTGCTCAAGCTCAAGTTCTTCACCAAGGCTTTGAGGTCAAGGTGTTCTTCAAACATCCAAGAGCTCACTGGAAGAGCTCAGTCAAAGCAGCCATGCTCCGCCTCCGCACCAGGCCACAACAAGAACCTGGAGCCACACCAGGTGTCTCTGATTCACCTTGAGGAAGCTTGTTCTGCTCCGAACTGGCTGGAGTAGAGTTCTGGATTGCTGGAGTCATCTGCAGCACGGATGATGATCGATCTATCATCGCAATCTCGTCCACGAAGCCAGCTGTGATTGGATCCTCTACTTCTTCTCTTTCCGACTGGACTCCAACAACGCCAGCCACGGCAGCTCGGACCGGCTGGACCCGCGGGCGTCGCGGGACCCGCGCGTGTAGTCTTCAAGCTGCTGTTGCCGTCGACGAAGGTCCTGGTCTTGGTCGTCCACGTGGCGGTTGCTGGCGTGGAGTCGTCGCAAGAACTCGGCGCTCTTGCCCTCCAGGGATCAGGGGGATGCACCATCCAGCTTAAATCAACGAATACTCAACGAATAGGGGGCCTTGCTGAAACGGAGTTCCTTACGTTCATCACCCCAGAAACGAATCCAGAGGACTACAGACACCAAGATTCGGGTCTACAGCGCAATGAAAGAGAAACGTGGAAAAAAATGACATATGGTTAATACCGTTGGAAGAGAATCATCCAACATGAAGCATTTATCAAACATGTGGATGCGGTTGTTGGATGTGTCCAATCTTTACTGAACCCATGAACGGGGCCCTGCCTGTTGTTTCTTGAAGTCATCATTCTCCAAAATGCTGGCATCGGCGCCAGTCATGACTTTTTCCAAAGAACTTAAGAAGTGCCTGGAGAAGGGAAATGATCAACCATTGAGGCGAGAAAACACCTAGCATATCTTATTACACATATTAATGCACGTTAGAGACGTGGCTTCAGAATTCCCGCATCCCCTTATGTATGCTACACAAGGTGACCTGATCCCTTGGCGATATGGGAAGCAAAGCTTCAACGCAAAATCATGGAGTTGCCCTCCTGCCTGGCGTTGAACTCATCCATCACCCCTGGCTCGTCGATATGAAGGAAACCTCAGCTTAGCTTCAGCAGCTTGGAAAGGACCCAGCCAGCACTGGGGGAGAACGAGGGTTTTTGTAGGCTGTTCGCAGCCTTGCATCCTTAACTCAGAACCAAACCACCAATCTATAGCGACGAACCAAAAAGTGCAGTATTCTTTTGCACAGAAAAAGTCGTGGGTTTTAGTGTCTGTTCCTATTTGGGTTACCAAAAGACCAGAAGAAAAACAGCCATGAGGCCTCCTCCCGTGACTTCTGCAAGAGCCTCATACTTCGCAGTGTCAGACCTTTGGATCATGGGCCCCATGAAGGGACCTCTGGGAATGTCCACCACAACGATGTGCCATTCGATGTCCTTGGGGTTGGGGAGTCCAAACCCGGAGTCCAAACTGGTCTCCTGGTGCGACTACAAGAGTTGCCCAGCTCTAGGGGGTTGGAAGAGAATGGCAAAACAGAAGAAAGGTCCAAACGCAGAAGGACGTGGACAAACCAAAACGTTGCCAAAGCCGTCCCAGAGGTCATAGCCATCCTTCAACAACTCCTTCATCATCGGATCCATGCCCTGGATGCCGTGATATGGATGCGGGCTGCTCACATCCAAGCCATCAGTGATGACGATGACGCGCAGCTTGCCGTTGCCGGGGATGTACTTGTCTCGCAGATCTGTCAAGATCATGTGCCACATGTAGGTGCCTGCTTCATAGGTGCTGGATGGTGCCGGGTTTTTCGGTTTTTTGGTGACTCAGTGGATGATGAAAACATTAGCCTCACTCTCGCCAGGACAACTCTGCACCTCCGAAAGTAGGCAGATAGGTTAGTTTGGATGGCAAATAGCGGAGGTGTCGGTCGGAGGTGCGGAGAAATCCTCCCGTGAATGTCCGCGACTGCGGGACGGTGTGTCTTTTGTGTGCCAGGACTGTTCGGACCGACAACAAATGCCCTCCGTGATCGATTTCTAAAAAGGCCGTCGCAAAGGTTCTTCAATGCTCCATGGGTGAGCTCGCCTATACACTTAGCCACTGTGAGGGGACACCTGGTCGCCCCAAAGATCATCAGCAACCACCCGGCTGGTGGGCTTGATTGCGCCGGAAACACGGTCAGATGGGTCCAAAGGCAACCCGGGCCTGCTGACTTCCCCTTCCACTGCAGGCAAAGGATCTCAGGATTCAAGCTGTCAAACTTGGGGCTGAAGTACTTTCCTTGCTCACCCCTTGGCCCGGACTCAGGATCGGACAACAGAGCAACAAGTCGGTCGGATAATGTGAGGCGAGGCAGGCAGAATGGCAGAATAGCCAGATCACTTCAGTCGTTATTTCCAACACAGACCCTCTCACAACCTTGCAGAGTGTTGTTGTTGTTGGGATGCCCCTCATCTCCAAAACCAGCCCTTTTAAGTCATTTGGGCTTGCGGATAGTCACCCGGCCGAATGGAAACACTGCATTAGTGAAAAGTCGAAAAGTCACTTCGTTTTATGTTACAACACCATGGAAACGCTTTTAAGGACTGTTTTGGACAACTGTTGTACATCGAGAATTTAATGCCTCTCCACACTAAAATGTTGAAGTGGGTAAATGTTGGGAGCACTGAAACCCAACGAGAACGTAAGTTAGTGTCATGAGAATTACATCCCTATACAAACAAGTTTGGAGGGAAACATGGCTACACTTGAACAAGTGCCGTGCGAGTCTTCTCAAGCCCAGCACGAGTGCCGTGCGATTCCCAGGCAACAAAGAGAACCTAAGAGCAATACTGAGCGTACATCTTGCATCTTGCATCTAACCCGCATGGAAACGCATCCAGACGACTTTCTCCAGACGACTTTTCCCAACTACCCAGCATAAACCCTGCTGAACCCTGCTTAAACCTGCTGCAACTGCGGGACCTCATGCCGACTTGGATTCAGGACCATTCACCAATGTGTTTGCACAACCAATATGCATCGTTCTCCACCTGGACATCGCCAATCAATAAATATCAAGAAGTATTCCCCCGCAGCCCACACCTCCAACGCCCCAAGACTTCCTCTAAAAGATTAACCTAATCTGCAAACAGCCCATCTTCGGAGGCGTCCGGGGTCAATGACCGCCCCACGCTCTTCGCTCTTTGAATCCGAGCGGAGCGGCTCCTCCACGACGACCAGGCTGCGCGCACCGTTCTCCGCGCTGCGTCGGCTCCGCGGCTCCTCCCGCGGGACGATGACCTGCTTGTGGTCCGCAAACCTCGGCCGACCCGGACGACCCTGGACGAAGCAGGGTGTGGGCTGGTAGAAACAAGTAAGCCCCCCTTGAAACATCTGACACTCCAAGATTGCAATATCTAATACTAATTTGTATTTTCTTGTTCCTAATAGCTTTATTGTTCCTAGTAGTAAGGCCAGGAGCCCCGAACATAGCGTCCGAACGCTCCGTTCGTAGCGATGCCTCTACCTTTTCTTGAAACATCTGACACTCCGAACTTGCAATATGTACATGAAAGCTTAAGAAGAGCCAGCGAAAAGCCTATGTTCTGTCAAAGATCCGAACAATCAAAGGGGAACAACCATCGTGAGCTGGTTTAAGCTGGGGTCCAGGTGGATTGCTGACATAAATCTCCAAGTGACGTGCAGACACGCGTGGGGCTGTCCTGCACACACCGCAGCCACAGTGCTGCTCAAACAAAGCAAAACTTAGGAGACTGGATCACCATGGTCTGTCCGTTGGGGTTGAAGTACTCAGGCAAAAGCCATTCATGTTACACTGAAAGTCATGGCAGAACTCTGCTCCATCGCGGCCCCGTCCGAAGTTCGGCCCCTTCACGGATGAAATCAGCGACCTCAGGTCCCTTGCAATAAGCAAAGGGTGTACTTTGGATACAAACATTGGAGCTTGCGAAACATTGGAGGACCTTGCGGGTGGAGTCTCAAGAGTAGCCACATCTAGACCCACACGAACCCGCACGAACCCACGACATGGGCACGCAGTGATGACCTCCACCCGCTCCTGCAGAAGGTGGGCCATCTTCCTCAAAGCGGCCTTCGCCTCCGAGAGGTTCTGTCCACTCATGGACGCTGAGTCATCCAGATAAAGGACCTGGTGGCAGAGGGGAACCAGCAAAGACGATCCAACTGATCAAGTGAGCACGTGACTGATGGGTCTAGCGAACATGGGTTTTGGGATGTTTTGGGGTCTGACAGTCTGTCAATGTGGATCAGCCTTCCTTCTGACACTTGACACGAAAAAGACCTCTTCGAACGCCCAGGCGCTGTTTCCAAGCCATCCACCTTCACTGGCCCCTCTCGCAAGTCCAACGCCCACGGCAACAGCTCGAGCAGCTGTCCAACCACTCCAACCGCCACCGCAGCACCGCCCCCCTTCACCGGCACACCACCAGCGCCCGCTCGCGCGGATCCTGCGCGGCCAGGCGCAGGGGCAGCATCTGCCAAGAGGGCGCCCAGGGCGGGGCCATAGCGCTTGGTCAGGCGCCAAGCTGCACCTCGTGCGGCAAGCGAAACGAGAAGCTACCGAACATAGCAAAGGGCATCGCTACGAACGGAGCAAGAAGCTTCTAGTAGCTCCTGGCCTTACTAGTAGCAAGAAGCTACGAAGCTAGCAAAGGGCATAAGTTGCCCAATGGTGAGTGTCAGTCGGAAGGCCTTCCTTGCCTCTTCGATCTTACAGAGCTGGTCGTCCCCCTCGCCCCAGAGGATTGGCTAGTCGCTACTGCCCAACCATCATGCCGACTGAAGTGAGTGAAGTCGGATTGCTTGGCTTTCCCAGACTGGTGCAGGCTAAGGGTGACTGCTCCAGTGGAAGGATCTGGTTTTTCAACAAAACTCAAGATGATGAAAGAATGTAGCGATGGTAGGGCCGATCAGAGTAGCAGAATCTGCGAAAACACCCAAGTGATGTAGGATACATCTGCGGCCTATGGATCTTCTGCAAATACAAATTCATGTATCATGGAACTGTTCAGTGTAGGGGCTTTTCCATGAAATTTAGGAACAGAAGACAGCGTAAGTCCGCAAGAGTAACATGAGTCTCATGTTAAGGCTTGGGTTTCCAAAGTGGAAATTTGTATGTGCCGATCCTCTTGGTGTTCAATTCTCAAGGTACTGTACCACAAGCACCACGGGCACCAACAGCACTACGGGCACCAACAGCACCAGGGCGCCAATGATTGAATCCACCACTGAGCCCTTGCTGGCTGAAACTTCAGCCACGGCCCCAGATCGTCCTACCTTCTGATCTGCAACCTGCAGAAAATGCAAGTCCAAGTCAATGTCAGCAGAAATACAAAGCCGACATCAACTCAAAAAATGCAAACGTCCTATACAAATCACATAGAGTGCAATCGTCTGGGACGATGATGCGAGCTCTTGTGCTTTTCCGACCCACCTCCAGCTCTTGTGAAGTGAGCTTCTCCACGAAAGCGTTCCAGGCAAATGCGTCCTGCCGCAGCCCATGCAGCACCGCCGCCTGCTCTTCGCTGGTCAAACGCTCAAAAGGTCGCAGGACAGCGCGTGGACGGTGCGTTCCAAGTCTTCCATCCTTCAAGTGCTCCCTCAGTCCGGCGACAAGCATTTTGCGTTGCAAGGAAAAACACCTAACAGGAAGTAACTCATGCTTTTCCACTCTTTTCTGCCATCTTTCCAGATTTTTTGCCCAGCGGCCAAGCTATCTCATCAACCCCCAAGACCTTCCAGGCTTCACGCTCTGAGCTGGGCAACGAGCTCCAACGGCTTGCCTTCCCCACGGCAGTCGCCAAGGTCCTGGACGGGATGAACTGCAGCAACGGACCTGGCAGGCGGGGCAGTCTTGGCCTAGGCTGCACTGGGAATGGAATGGATCCCATTTAGGGCCTAAGGCATTCTTTCTGGAAAACGGGAAGGCAGGCAAGACTCAAGGGATTCTCAGAACAGATGATCCTGGAAGGACCTAGGGTGTTCCAAAATGATCTACAGGGTTTTCCGAATATGAATGTCTGATTAAGTTTGGTTTGAAAACAAGCAGTTGCCGGAGGACTCTTCCAGCTCCAGAGGCCTAGACTCCGGTTCCTAGCTCGAATGGAAATCGCACGATGGACGGCTCAAAACACCCCTGACTTCATAAACAAGAAGCTACGCAGCTACTAGCGAGGCACTTGTTACAAGTAAAGATCATATACAGGCTCGCCTCGCGTCCCAAAGCACCTGCTCCAATCTTGTTGTGGCCGCGGCAGTCTGATCGCTCGCTGTTGATCGCTCGCTCTCGACGGCACAGCACGTGGCCATCGCCGCACGGCATGCGAAACGGCGCACGAAGCACGAAGACGATGCACATGGCCAGCCATGGAAAATCCGCTGCTAGCAGTTGTTTCTCACAACGTTGGTTCGTTGGGTTCGCACACAGAAATGACGAATGATTTCATCAGCCACCCGAGATGAAAAGGAATCCAAAAGATGGGTGCGCCCAAGCTTGCGAGTTTGGGAGAAAAGCTGAGAATGTAGCACCGGCAGCTGTCCTGAAAGCAAAGGTGAGCCAAGAACACATCCCAGTGAGTCAAAATGCACAAGCATGACCGCATCATGAAAACCCAAAAACAAAACGGTTGTTTAAATGGAACACGCCAACACGCTGGTAAGATACAAAATCCATCTTAGTTTGCTCCAGAAATAGGAGGTCGCCCAAGCACATTTCAATTTTAAAAAAGAATACAAAACATGTCTCAGCAATGGCCTCAATTTCGAAGGATGGAATCTGATCCCCAATTTGGGCAAGGGCAAAACCCAACGTGTCTTGAAAAAACAACGATCCCCAGGTTTTGAATCAGAATGTGCCCGAAACTATTCTGGAGCCGGACACCTCCCTCAAGCAACAGAATTCGGGCATTTCCCTGAGGCACCACAAACTGGGCACCTTTTTTTGTCAAGTGTTCGAGCTGCGCAAAGTGTTTGACTCTTCACACAACTGTTTTTGGGTTAAAGCACAGTCTTGTAATTTACAAGGGTAAAGGTGCCAATAGTCAGTCGGCATTGACCTTCAAAAGAACTCACATGTTCAGCGTTTCCCGTTCTCTTCCGCCGGAATCCGGTTAGTCACACATGCACAAGTTGAACACGCACATTTGAGAAGACCAAGTAGCATGACACTCTCTTCATATAGCTATATAGTATTTTTCGTATCTCTTCTCATATATCGAGAACAATGGTGAACCTGCCAGCGGCGTTACGTACAATCATTTTACCCACATAGCTTTTAATGAGAACATAATTTCGACTCTTCCCATTCAACGTTATTCTCACTGCTGTCAGCCAGAAACACCAAAATACAGTAGATCAGAATACATGAAACTGCTAAAGTGGAGTCACGTTGGAACCTGAATGAAACATTCTGTATGCACCCGCACATCTCTTGAGTTCAGGGACGAAAATTCCAATCCCTGACTGCACAGAGTGGAACCTATCAACAAACCGACAATGGAAGCTTCACACATGCCTTGAAAAGCTAACTGTTCAAGTGCATGGTGCACACATCTTAAATTTAAAGATGTGAAAAGTGTTTGATTGGTTTGTTTCATGAATTTTTGGAGTAATGCACTGCTAACTTAATCCACATATATGATGCACTATCCCTTCTTTGAAGGGAGGCATTATGCAAATGCTGCCAGCAAAGCACACCGGCGTTGTTCAACACTGAACTTGGAGGATCTTTCCACTGTGCTGCATGCATGAGATGGCTTGCTGTGACGGCATCTTCTTCAGGACACTGCATTGTCAAGACACCTTGTGTGATGTAGGGGCATGCACACCCCTTTTGGACAAACTGAGTCTTCAAGTCGACTTGAATCAATTGCATGACTTTGGTGAATGGGATTGGGCACCGCCCGACCTCGGCCGCAAGTGCGGCGTGGCAGCGTCCCACGCGCGAACTTCGGCTGGAAAGAGGGTTCTGTGAGATTGATGAGTTTCTCAAAGACAGAGTGGCGGAGAAGTTTTTGCACGGGTGGAGCCGCCGTTTACGCAGAAAATGCATAGGTCAGCTTGTGCTGCTTTTGAAAGAGTCTCTTGCATGAACAACAAAAACCACACCAAACCAAACCACCGCGAAACAACAAAACAACAAACAACCAGAGAAGAGAGCAGGAGACTCTTGAGTGTACATGCAAGGTGAGACCGGTGTGAGACAAAAATCGGGCGTTGAATTAGAAAAGCTACATGAAAAGCCTGGAGCCAAGTCGAAGTTGCTGACACTATTCCTGGCTTGGTTAATTAGGCCTGGACGAGTTGACCACATTATGAGCGAGAGAAGCAAGTGATCCTTATGCCCGGGATATTGCTTTGTGTTGCTTTGTGTTTATTAAGGCGTGGGCAATCAGATCAGACCAACTTTGACTAGCTAGTCAGGCGGCATGGTTGATATTTAGGGTGCGTTTCTGTTCTCCAATGCTCAGAATTCATGACTCTGGAAAACCACTGGTGACAATTCGGCTCTGACGCGCCAAACGAAAGGGCAATCCATTGTCAGCAGTGCGGCCCATCGATGCTGTTCAGTAAGTTTGGCTGTCAGTGAGATGCAGATGGCTGTAATCAATGACATATCAAAAGAGGGCAGGGATAGTGATGCCCCTTGCTGTCTTGCAGCCATGCATCTCCCTCCCACAGAGGGAGGGGGGAGATGTCTCACCATGGTGCCCCTCTGAACAGCTGATCAGCGAGGGTGGTTTTTTTCTGCACATTTAGGACAGTCAGCGGCAAGCTTGTTGGGACATTGAGACACGAGTGGACAGGCTGTCATCCAGTGCATCACGCAGCGCCCTTGTGAAACAGGTGAAACAACTATAGGACGGTATTTGCTGCACACTTTGTACACAGCTGGCAGGGTCGGAGCCCACGCCCATGGACAAGTCCTTTTTTTGCACGTGTCGAGGCACTATGTGTGCAGGTTATGCACAAGTCACCTTAGGCTAGTAAAAGAAGGAGAAGTGAACCTGCCAACAAGAACAGGCAAAAGCAAAAACACCAAACAAAAACCAACACTCCAAAACCAAACCAAAAACAAAGGCAACCAAGCAAGGCAAGGTTCACTTCTCGAGAGGCTGAGAGAGCCAGATATAGGTGAAACTGACATTTATCAGGGGGCAAAATGAATTCATCCCTTGCACTCAGTTCATCTTCATCTGGATAGTGCACAATTCACATCAAGAGAGGATAGAAGTACAGCAGTGTGAGAAAACCGCTGGAGCATCAATCGAAAACTTCAAATCGTCGAGAGAGGAGCCCAACGGAGCCATACCGACAAGGCCGCAACGAAACGAGAGCGTACGTCGAGAGCGCATGCTGAGGGCAAGCTTGTGACCACGACACCCTCCCCCCCAAGAGGGGGGGAGGACGCTATTGTTTTTCCACGAGTGCGGACGCCATGTGGGCGGTGCGCCCAGGTCATCGTAGAAGGATAGGAAACACTGCATATTGAAGGGGGAGAAAGACCAGAAAAGAACAGGAAACCGCCAACAAAAACCCCAACCAAACCCCAAACACAAAACCAAAAACCAAAAACACCACACAGACCCCCATCCAATGTAGGCAGTGTTTCCTCTGTACTAAGGCGAAAACGGTGAAAATCGAACGGGTCACCAGCCGGAGCGTGCATACAAACTTTAGGAGGGGGGGAGGTTGCTACTGGGGGCAAGGACGCTACTGGGGGCTCCTGGCCTCACTAGTTTTTTTTTGGCACGGGTGGAGGCGCTGTGTGCGCCGAGAGGCACAAGTCACCTTGATTGAATTAAATGAGGAAGCTAATGAGGTACAAGCCTAGTAACAAAGAAAGGCACCACACCACAGAACAACCAAACACAAAACCAAGCGAAACCAAAACACAAAACACCAAACCACCAGGCTCGTATCTTCGCAGGGCTATAAAAGCCGAAGCAAAAGTTGCGAGAGAGGGGTGAGACGGGGCTTCGAATTCGTTCTTCCGCTTGCGCTCAGCACTTGATGGTCAAGAAACCGCGAAATTCCTTTCTGCGGGCAGTGAGTACTTGTGTGACACTGTTGGCGCTTGCCAAGATGTGCAAGGAGTGCCCATGTTTTGGAACATTGCGAGCCATTGCTTTTTTTTTGGCACGGGTACGGGCGCTGTGTGTGCCGAGAGGCACAAGTCACCTTGAATGAATTCAGAGTAGGATGAGAAGACACGAGCCAGAACCAAAAAGGCCCAGCAACAAACAACCAAACACCAACCAAAACAGCAACAACCCACACAACAGGAGCAGGCTCATATCCTCCCGAGATGTGAAACAAAAAGGTGAAGATCACGAGATCTAACACGAGAGTGAAACGGGGCAATGAGTTCTACATTCAGGCTGCACTCAGTTAAGGATGTCTATCATCAAGCCCCTTCCTGTTAGTTGGGTGACGAGTGTCCCGACACAGGTGTTGTGCTGCACAGTCGTCGTTAAGCAAGACCGGATGCAAATGTGAGGTGCTTTTCAGGCCAGTTTCGGAGCTAGGCAAGACGAAACTTGTATCAAAGACCACGAATGAGCCTATGCTAACGTAGATTTGCTCCTAATTGGCCTACTCTGTAACGAAAGGTCTCCAGTTTGCGGGACAAAATTCCGGCTGGCTCATGGCCTTTGCTTGAGCATTGTAATACGCCGGGTATGTGCCAGGACAAGAGGTAGGGTAGGCAATGGGCATCACCCCCTCTCGACATAGAGGACACATCAAGGCAAGACAATCCAGGAAGTAGTAAGGTGCGTGCATGCCGACCCACAGAAGCCACTGCCTCTATCCCGAGTCGTAAGAGGCATGACTCTATGGTATCTCTGTTCAAACATGCGAACTTGAAAAAGGGCCGAAGATCATAAGAGGCCTGCAGCGGGCTAGCAGTGGCATGTAGAGATGTAGCTACGAGACCAACCACCTCCCCCCGAAGGGGGAGGTGATGAGGGCGTGCACCCAGAAAGCAGTTCCAAAACCAGGACAATCGGGACCTGCTGTGGTCACACAGCGTAGCAAGATGAGCCTCTCCGATAACAACCAAAGTGCAAGTCACCCGAAAGCGAGAGCAAGTATGGCACGGTGGGCCAGCCTCGGCAGGTTCTGCATTTTTCTAGGGTCACTCGAGTGCACCGAAGTTCTAGACGTCACGCAAGCCCCATGAACTACGTGAAACGGTGAAACGCCGCTATTCCTAGTACTAGAGAACTGTACACTGTACCACGCCCTGACCACCCCTTGGGAGGCAGCCAGGGGAGCTGGCTATCTACTCAGTTGCACTGGCAAAGTTGGCAAATGGAGTCACCGACCTGCGACTCCTTGCTGATCTGCTAGCTAGCTCCGAGCCGAT